AATAAAGGGCAAAGATGGTAAATACCGCATTTGCCCCAAAATTTACACCCCCATGTAAACTGGCAAGCAAATGCGGTATTTACTGACCATCTTTGCTTTTAATTTCCCCCTAGTTTGCACTAGTTTGCACCATATTTACACCGAGTAAATTTGTGTAAATCGAATTTTTCGTGCCGTGTTTGCCGCGGTTTTGACGTTCACGTATGCGTGATTGAAGTATGAAAACGTGTCAGTTTGGTCGTAATGTTCGAAGATTTTCCCTAGGTAGCCTACAGTAGTGCTCTCGTATTAGTATTTTGTGGGCGGGCGCGTGAGAGCTGCTTTTATACTTTCTTATTGCCGAGGTGCCACCTTTGAAGTGAGGAAGACTGGGGGGAGAAATTTCACTGAGCACTGGATCCTCTAGAGGTCCAAAAAAAACTATAATACAAATACATCAGGAGCCGATGATTATACATACAATAATGATATATACGAGATATTACAGACCCGAGACCATTTGGGAAATGTTATCACTTCGCCATCCGCCATTCCCGCCTTAACTTAGAATTCAACAGGACTGTTATGCGCACCAGAAGAAATACTGGCATTATATGGATGCCGGGGACAGCCCTGTGTCAGCCTCGTCCTGCAGCAACCATATTGGAAAATCAGAAGACCTTGTAAGCAAGGTCGGTCATGTCGGTCAGGTTTATTTTCGGTTGTTGTTTCTCTCCGCCGTGTCCGAAAAGTCATCTTTCTGCGTTTTAAGGCCGATGTAAACCTGCAAGTGATACATGTAGTGCGGCAACGGTCTGATACATGCCAAAATCACATGACCCTCAATTTTGTTCCCAGAGGACGCGATCCTTTCGTACAGCGACGGGGACCACAAGCCTCCGTCACCCCACCCGCGGTAAGGTAGGCTTTGGGGACGAGATGTCACGAATCTTGTCCCCAGGGATCCCCTTTTGTCGTGCGCAAATCGCGGAATCGGTCCGCCTTTAGCGGGCTTTTGCATGGGCACTAGATTGAAATTAGAGCAAATCGATATTTGGGTCAGAAGGGAAATGAAGTAACGTACAGTTGACTCCCGATAACTCGAACCTTCAAGGGAAATAGAAAAAAAGTTCGAGTTATCGGGAGTTCGAGTTATAAGGAGCTCGAAGAAAATAACCGTTAGTAAGGTAAAAAAACAGTTTTTACTGTACAGTGGACATTTTAATCACATTTTATTGTAGAAATATTGAGTGAAAATTGAAAGATACTATTAGATTATAAATCAGAACGTGACGTAACAAAACATAGCCTAAATAGAGCATGCGTTTTACTGTTCTGAGAAGTAAGGCTGTTTCACGTTAGATTTGTGACAAACAACATCAGACTCCACTAGCAAACGATGTGTCTACAACACGTCGATGGGACTTCAAAATCCATTTTTCTGACGCCAATACATTGTTTTTCCCGACTTTTTAAGCGCTCAAAACATGGTTCGAGTTATCGAGGGTAAAATTTTATAGGAATGAGGGGAAGCAAAAATTACATCGAGTTAGCGGGAAGTTCGAGTTATCGAGGGTTCGAGTTACCGAGGGTAAACTTATAGTAAATGTATGAAGGAAATCCAGGGCAAATCGATTTTGGTTCGAGTGAGCGCGAGGTTCGAGTCAACGAGGGACGAGTTATCGTGACAGGGGCACCCAACGAGAATATAGTTCAAAACCACTTAACATAGCCTTGTTGAACGTATTTTAGTATTTAAACGGTAGATATAGGCATATTTTTATCCCCTAAAAACTTTTCATCTGTTCGGATTTCCTAGCTGAAAGTCTAGTGATCCGAAAATTATAGGAATCAAAACTTACCTTTTCGAAAATTTCAGCCAGGAAAAGGCTCCCGAAAATTTTAGGTGGCCTTTTTTAGGGTAAATATCCGTTTAAAATGGGTAATTATACCATTTTGTAGATGTTCGAAAATCCTAAGAGAGGCAGGCAAGCAAGAAATTTTACGACAAATGTTCCGAAAATTCTAGTTCTCAAATCGTCTTCCGAACGTATTTTCCCGAAAATTCCCGTTGGGTGCCCCTGTCGTGAGACAACGGTATTTTGCTTGTCACGCGTTCCTGATCACACCCATACAGTTTTGAGGAATGGAGAAACGAATGTTTATGCTCGCCGTTTTCCAGTTATGTTCTGTGTTAATAGCTTGTAAGAAGTTGCCACCGATTGGTTCCAGAGATTTTCAAAGAAGACAAACTGTTGCTAGACATGGGACCATGAAGGTAAAAACGATACGCTTGAACAAGAAAGTCGTAGACATTCAGTGACTCACCCTTTGGTAGACAGAGTACTGGGGTATTATACCTCCGGGCCAAGCTAACAGATTATTAAATCAAAAATTTAGGTAAGATTTGAAAACAATTTAAGGTATTCACAGTGCTAAGTTAATGTATTTAGCCTTTTCAGACCATAGGACACTGAAAATTACTCACAGTTGTCATGAACATGACTGACTGTACATGAATCTTGTGCTTTCGGTTTAATAAACACTCTGACATAAACAAGTGAAAATGTCGGGACAGCAGCATGATGTCAAAATTTACCTCTTCAAAGAGTTTTTAAATGAAGTAGCGGTATAAATTTATTGCCAAGCTATTATAAAGACGATCAAAGTTTGACATTTTTTTCTGTGTTTATGAAATAAAATACGTACAAAAACTATCCCTGAATTCCTCGCTCTCTAAGCTATGGAAAGTCTAGAAAGGCACGTCTAGATAAGCAATTAGACCTAACAAGTACAAAACAATGTCAGATTAAACACTGCAAGTTTGTAAAATGACGTCTATCACTATTACATACATACAGGAAAGTCATTATATCCGGTGTCATCAGATCCTTTTTT